TTGCACTTTAAAGCTGATTAACAGCTACCACCCATGTCACTACCCATTCCCTGGCATTTGTTATTCCTGCTGCTAATTGTTCATGATAGAGAGAAGGAGTGGAGTAGATCTGAAAGACCTGATTATAACATAATAGGAGTGGTAAATGAACTATGGACTGATGTTAGGGCTACCGTATGCATCATGGAGGAGGGAGAGGGTTCTGTTAACCGGGGAGCCCCCATAGAAGTCGTGGTGGGGAGGGGGAGATACGGGAAAAGGAGACCTTTAATTCGGCCTAGGGAACGTCCAACAACATTAGTAATCCCAAATCGGTCTCCTGATATGGTAAGTCGGTGTAACCAGGATGGCGGTCCCTCCGAATTGAAAGTGGTGCTGCTGAACGCCAGATCTGTCAACGGTAAAACAACCTTCATCCAGGATTTAATCCTGGATGAACGGGCAGATCTGGCGTGCATCACAGAGACCTGGTTGGACGAAGCGGGAGGTGTAAATTTAACCCAGCTTTGCCCACCAGGTTTCTCTGTGCAGCACCAACCGAGATCCGGAGGGCGGGGAGGCGGAGTTGCAGTGGTCTATAGAGATTCTATTCTTCTGACCAGGGCCCCCATCCCGCAGTCAACAAATTTTGAATGCGTCCACCTGAGGGTGGGTGACCGGGACAGATTAGGGATTCTGTTAGTGTACCGTCCACCTCGCTGCACTACAGACTCCCTGACTGAGCTAGCGGGGGTGGTCTCGGACCTGGCGTTGGAGTCCCAACGGCTGCTTGTGCTGGGGAACTTCAATGTCCATGCCGAGGCCGCCTTATCGGGAGCGGCTCAGGACTTCATGTCTACCATGGCAACCATGGGGCTGTCCCAACAGGTATCTGGCCCCACCCACAGTGCTGGACATACATTGGACTTGGTTTTCTGCCAGGGATGGGAGGAAGGTGGCGGTGTTGAGGAGTTATCCATCTCTCCGTTGCCATGGACCGACCACCACCTGGTCAGCTTTAGACTCACTGCACCCCCTAACCTCCGCAGAGGTGGAGGACCCATTAAATTGGTCCGCCCCAGGAGGCTTATGGATCCGGATGGATTCCTGACGGCTCTTGGGGAATTTCCCGCCGCCTCGGTTGGTGATCCTGTTGATGCTCTGGTCGCTCTCTGGAATGGGGAGATGACTAGGGCAATAGACACGATCGCTCCAGAACGTCCCCTCTCAAGTAGCCGAGCTAAACCAGCTCCTTGGTTTACCGAGGAGCTGGCAGCGTTGAAGCGAAAGAAGAGGGAACTAGAGAGCGTGTGGCGTTCGGATCCGAGCGAGCCAAATCGAACACGGTTTGTGTCCTTTTTAAGGGCATATGCCGCGGCAATAAAAGCCGCAAAGAAGACTTTCTTTGCGGCCACTATTGCGTCTGCAAAGAACCGTCCGGCTGAACTGTTCGAGTTGTCAGAGGCCTATTAAAACCCACCACTCAGGATGGGTGCCCTGATGACTCGGCAGCTCGCTGCGAAGCCTTTGCTCGGTTCTTCGCAGACAAAGTCGCTTTGATCCGCTCTGGACTGGATACCATATTAACGGCAGTATCTGAGGATGTAACACGAGCATCTGCTTGTCCGGTTTTGATGGATTCATTTCAATTGGTTCATTCCGAGGATGTGGACAAGGTGCTTGGAGGAATGAGAGCTACCACATGCATCCTAGACCCCTGCCCATCCTGGCTTCTGAAAGGAGGCCAGAGGGGGATTGGCCGAGTGGGTGAAGGTGGTGGTTAATGCCTCCCTTCGGGAGGGCAAAATTCCAGCCAGCTTAAAGCAAGCTGTGATAAAACCGCTGTTGAAGAAACCATCACTGGACCCCACTCAATTCGTCAACTCTCGGCCTGTTTCCAATCTCCCCTTTTTGGGCAAAGTCATGGAACGTGTGGTGGCCTCACAACTCCAGGTATTCTTGGTAGACACGGATTATCTGGATCCGGCACAGTCTGGCTTTAGGCCTGGGACATGGTACCGAGACAGCCTTGGTCGCCTTAGTGGATGATCTGCGCCGGGAGCTCGACAGGGGGAGTGTGTCCCTGTTGGTGCTGCTGGACCTCTCAGGCCTTCGATACCGTCGACCACGGTATCCTTCTGGGACGCCTTGCGGGGATGGGTCTTGGAGGTACTGTTCTGCAGTGGCTCCGCTCATTCCTCGAGGGTCGGTCTCAGAAGGTGTTACTGGGAGACTCCTGTTCAACCCCACAACCTTTGTCTTGTGGGTTCCTCAGGGTTCAATACTGTCTCCCATGTTGTTTAACATCTACATGAAGCCGCTGGGCGAGATCATCCGGAGTTTCGGAGTGCGATGTCATCTGTACGCAGATGATGTCCAACTCTGTCACTCCTTCCCACCCTCTACTAAGGAGGCTGCCGAGGTCCTGAACCGGTGCTTGGCCGCTGTGACGGTCTGGATGGGGGCGAACAAATTGAAATTGAATCCAGACAAGACAGAGGTACTCCTGGTCAGTCGTAAGGCCGAACAGGGTATAGGGTTACAGCCTGTGTTGGATGGGGTCGCACTCCCCCTGAAGACGCAGTTTCGCAGTTTGGGTGTGATCCTGGACTCATCGCTGAGCCTGGAAACCCAGGTTTCGGCGGTGACCAGGGGAGCATTCGCACAGTTAAAACTCGTGCGCCAACTGCGCCCGTACCTTGGGAAGTCTGACTTAGCCACGGTAGTCCACGCTCTGGTTACATCCCGCCTTGATTACTGCAACGCTCTCTACGTGGGGTTGCCCTTGAAGACAGCCCGGAAGCTCCAACTAGTCCAACGGGCGGCAGCCATGATACTAACAGGAGCGGGGCGCAGGGAGCACACAACTCCTCTGCTGCACCAGCTCCACTGGCTGCCGATATGCTACCGGGCTCAATTCAAAGTGCTGGCGTTGGCCTTTAAAGCCCTAAACGGTTCTGGCCCAACTTATCTATCCGAACGTATCTCAGCCTATCAGCCCACCAGGACCCTAAGATCTTCTGGAGAGTCCCTGCTCTCTATCCCGCCGGCTTCACAAGTGCGGCTGGCGGGAACGAGAGACAGGGCCTTTTCTGTGGTGGCCCCTCGGCTTTGGAACACCCTCCCTATAGAGGTACGATCAGCCTCCTCGCTGATGGTGTTTCGGAAGAGATTAAAAACATGGATGTTTAAACAAGCATTCGGTTAATCTGTTGCAACGAATTTTGATGACTAAAGGACTGGCAATCATGGACGACGAATTTTGGATTGTGATTTTAGTTACGAGATGCATGGGATTATTATTGGTGGCCCAATAATTTGTATTGTATATGTGTTTTATGTTTTAAATTGAATATTGTTTTTAACTGTTGTAAACCGCAATGAGTCGCCGACTTAGGCTGAGATATTAGCGGTATACAAGCGTATAAATAAATAAATAAATATAAATAAATAAATAAATACCCTCTTCCAGAATATCTTTGCTTCCTCACATTCCCACCACATATGTGTAAACCATTCCTTCCCCTTTTTACAATGCCAACAGTTTGAGCTGGAGCCCTTTATCATAAATGCTAACTAAGCTGGGGTTCTATGTAATTTTTGATAAATCTTTTTTACTAATTCTTGAAACTTTTCCATTTTAATGGTACTCATCACCCCTTTCATTATCTTATCTATATATATAAAAACGCTCTGTGCATAATGGGTTTCTTAAAAACGAAAGAACCAATGAATGAAATCACACCAAATTTGGCAACAAAATGTCTCACAACACAAGGAGTGACCATCACTAAAAAAGTTATGATTTTGTTATTTGGGAGTTGTAGTTGCTGGGATTTATAGTTCACCTACAATCAAAAAACATTCTGAACTCCATCAACGATGGAATTGAACCAAACTTGGCACACAGAACTCCCGTGACCAACAGAAAATACTGGAAGGGTTTGGTGGGCACTGACTTTAAGTTTTGGAGTTGTAGTTCACCTTCATCCAGAGAGCACTGTGGACTCAAACAATGATGAATCTGGACCAAACTTGGCACAAGCACTCAATACGCCCAAATATGAACACAGATGGCATTTGGGGAAATAGAACTTGACATTTGGAAGTTGTAGGCACTGGGATTCACAGTTCACATACAATCAAAGAGCATTCTGAAACCCAGAAACGACAGAACTGGGGCAAAATTCCCATGACTAACAGAAAATACTTAAGGCCATCCAATCCAACTCCCTTCATCAGGGCAAGAAAACGTAATCAAAGTCTTCCTGACAAAAAGCCACCCAGCCATCGATATAGATAGATAGATAGATAGATAGATAGATAGATAGATAGATAGATAGATGATAGATAGAGATAGATAGATATGAGTTACACACATACAGATATAGTATAGATTTGAAAGGGACCTTTAAAGAAGGACAATGATATGTTGCATGTTCCAGAGTAGGCAAACCATACACTCTCCACATCAACACTGACAAAGAAACAGCAAGAAATACTGTTTACCCACAAGAATAAAGAAATTGCACATTTTAGAAACCAACACTTTCTCATTCCTTTATTTTCCAGATCAACAGACTGGGCCACAGCAACGCATGGCAGGGGACAGCTAGTTTATGATATAATGGAAGCTTCACAGTTATATTCTTCTGGGTTCTTTTTGCTCTATTATTGTATATTATTATGGTGGTATGTGTGTGCATCTCTTTTACTGTCTCACATCGCTCCAGCTGCTGTGTGTATTATAGGTCTCACTGTGCTAGGTTTGTTTGTTTAATTAAAATCATGATTTTCCTTAAGCGATTCGGCTTGTGGCAAAATGTTTTACAAGCACAGTGAAAGTTCAACATCATCTGTAGCCTTCTTCTCCCTCTCTCCTCCCAAATAAATAAATCTTAAGTGCATTAGTAATGCACTAGTGAGAAGGGAAGAAAGACATTTTATGCTTATAGAGAATGAGCATTCAGAAGTGTGGTAATGTAAATACCAGCAACAACAACAGCAAAACTAAAACTTACCTCATTGACTGCAACATAGTACCGCTGCTGCTGAAACTGGGGAGAGTTATCATTTCTATCCCGAACCACAATCCGAACTTCATGGTAAATAATGGTTCCTACTTTCCGATTAATGCACTGGACTTGGACCACGATGGATTGAATAGACATTGGTGGCTGTAAAAAAAGGAGAAAAATACAAGACTAATTATATTTAATAAGTACCTGGTTATACATTTTTTGGTCATCAAACATTAGAATGACTGCTTAGAAAATAAGCTAAATGGTCATTCAATGGAACTTAGTCCTGAATAGATGCATACAAAATTGGAAATAAAGGCGGAAATCCTATCAATATACTTAGGTCTAAATGCTAGACAACTATATGACAGTTACTTCTGAGTAGATATGATTGCACTAGAAGTTATCTGATTACATTTCTGGACTTAAAATATCTCTAAAGTAGGCTTGTGTATCTGTTTTAGCTGCTTCTTTGGCTTGGTTGGATGGCCATAACAGCAAGGGCCCAGCCGTCACATTTTCCCATCTGTAATTGGACCACGTAGCAGCCGATCATGGCTCATCTTCTCCTATTGAACATCACAGTCACGTCCCGGCTTCAGTGTATTTTTTTAACTTGGCTTCTGACTTGGCCTCTCTCTTGAATCTTTTTGATTTTCTTGATTATTTTTATTTAGTTGGACTGATTGGGAGTTGGGAATATGCGGGACGAATGGGTGGGGTGCATGTGCACATTTGGGGACTTGGAGAATCACTCTTTTTTGCTTCTTTTTCTCCTCCCCTCCTCTCCTTCAGAAAATACTTCTAAAAGATAATTATTAACAATAGTAAACCCAGTAAACAAAATGAAAATCTTCATTATCATAAAACTACCATTTCCTCTCCTCTAGAGTAGAAAACAGAACAAGTTTTAAGGAAGCATTACACCCAAAGTATAAAGGCGTGGGGGTGGGGGTGAGGGGGAGGCACCACTCCAGGCAGGGCCTCCGGTGCCAATCAAGAGAAAAGATAAGTCTTTGAAAACAAAGCCCAGGGTTGGATAGCTGCAGTTTGATTGCTCTTTTTCCCCTGGAAAGTGGGAAGCCTCCTTAAAATTCCTTGGAAAGCTATGTGCAGGGAAAGAGATTGTGTGCCTGCAGTGCCTGTAGCATCTGTCTCCTCTAGAGTAGAAAGAAACAGCTTTAATGAAATATTAAAACTGGTCTCCTCTACAGACAGAAGGGAAAGTGTCGTAGTTTAGCCAAGAGTTGTGGCTGATACTGATGTAAATGGGGAAGTGGAACATGGGAACTCTGGGCCTGTGAACCAACATGAGATTTTAAATCCTGAAAATGATCAGTCTGTCTCTAGCAGTTGGTGAAGGTCACTTTCCAGAGAAGTGTAGAGATGGTGCAGAAGAGTAGTTCTCTAGGGAAACAAGTTCAGAAGCTGAAATCCCTGGTGGAAAGAATAATGAGTTGCATAGGAGACTTGGTTTTCGTAAACTTTGTGCTGCTCAACAGAATCTCTGAAGGTCACAGAGAAGAAGAGGCCCGTATCAGGAAGTCATGGGAGAAGGCATGATTTCGGCTGTATGTTAGAGAAGCCAGGGGATATTCTAGCCAGTATGGTAATTGAGACAACATCTCCTGTCAAGCTTTCTGAGGGAATTCTAGTTCCATATCTTTACTTCTGTTTCATGCGTCCAAGTTTAAAGGATTGTTCCTGGATTTTTGTATTGGATTTTATGCTGTCTTGTACTTCCTGGTTTTCTTGTATTCCTGTGCTGGTGTCCTTTTGCTTTGGGATTTTGGGTTACTCTTGAACCTTGAGCTTTGTGGACTGTTATATATGTATAGACTTGGAAGTTTTTACTAATTTTTCTACAGTACTTTTTATATCTTTGAAAACCTCAAAATAAATAAATAAATAAATAAATAAATAAATAAATAAATAAATAAAATAATCTTTAATAAACTGCTTTGCTGTTTAACTTGGACTGGAGTGTGGTGGTTAAGTAGAGAGATGTTTCCTGGCTTGGAGTGCAACAGAAAGGATCACGGAAAGAGTGGTATCTTAACTGATGCTTTAAATCCAGGTCTTAATAAAGGATATAAGGACAAAAATGCCTAAAATGACAGGGAGCCTAGGAAGTCCCTCCCCCACACCAGTGGGCTAGATAGGGTGCTTTTTTAAACCCCTTTACTGAAATCCAGGCTCCGTTGAAGGAAAGAAAGGAAAAGGTCCTAGCAAGGGTGCTTCCTTAACCTCATTGCTGAAACGCAGACTTCCTTGAAAGGAAGAAATGAGAGGCTCCTATGAACAGAAAGGGCAGCCTTGTAAGTTCCCCGTTGCCACCAATGGGTTGGATCTAGTCGACTGAATAAGGCTATCCGGATACCTCCCCATTTTCGGGAGGCACATAAAAAAGGATACAGGTGTCTACCAGAATCTGGTTAGCAGAAACAGATTGAAGCTCAACTGAAATGCACAAGCCTACTCTCAAGTGCAACTTCTAAAGTGAAGCAACTATTACCTACCTAATGTTGCAAGACTTGAGAAACTGTAGGACAGCTCAGAAAAAAGGTGTTTGCCCTCTGTTGAGATCATGCCCTTCTTTCAGTTGACTGCTGTAAACATCAATAACGAAGGGTGTGTCTAAACTGTGGAATTAATGCAGTTTTACACTACTTCAGGTAGTTCTGCACAGTCATCCTGGGACTGATCCAGAGTGTTGAATTCTGGACCTGTTCTGGAATGGTGCTCTGGAGGTAGGACAAAATCCCTACTGATAATCCGAAAGTACAAGTGGGAAAAGCGTCATGGAGAGGGAGCTATGCGTGGGGGTGACAGATTTGCCTACCCTTTATGATTGGGTCTCTGGAGTGACCCTGACAGGATGCCATGGTGATTTGGGGTGGGGGTGGTGATAGGAAAGATGAATTCACCCCCTCATGTCCCCTTCACTTCTCCAATTGATCATGCACTCCAGAAAACATCATTCCATTTTCTTGGCTGTATATGTATCCATCCACATTTGTTTTATAATATATTGTTTGCTTTTTCACAGTCTCACTTACCGTGGCACAGGCAATCCAAAGCTCTGTATTTGACCTGCCCCACCTCTAACTTACTTCAGAACTGGAGATGCTTCACTTCAGAACATTTATGAAAGATAATAGCACTGTTCCAATCAGATGAGTGGGCAACCTTTCTTATTATTTCTTTCCATTATGATGACATCAATTTATTTCTATTACCTGCTCCCTATCCCTTCAACCATTTATTAGCCCATAGGAAGAACCATCCTCTTAAGCTGAAAGCTTTGGGAGGGCATGAAATTACATGTTGACCAAAGGGTTCTTTCTTGTATGATTACCTAATTCTACTTTAGTTAATCCTGCCCAAATGCTTTTTTAAATTTACAGAGGATGTTTGCTCTCTTTTCTTTGTCTCAGAATAAGTAGCTCAATCTGTTGAAATCAAACAGAAAGGAACTGATTCTCTCTTGAAATAAAAATGAGCAGTGAGTAGCTTATAAATCTGTCTTTTAAAAGCTTTCAATAAAGTTCTTTTCAAAAATAAGTTAATAAAAAAGAGGACTGTGTATCTGGCTATTCAGTTCAAAAAGTTAGGTGCTTCAGGGCTTCACCAGATCAGATGCACCCAAGAATACAGCGTATGCCCTGGAGCCCCAAAAACTGAAGAAAAGGTAAAGCAATGAAGGAAGTGACTGGCAACAGAAAGAAGCTTCAGGCTTGGCCAGAGGGAAGAAACCCTTTTGGCTTACACAATAGGCATTCTTCTGGTTGTACATTCAAATCATAGGCACCTTTATGGAGAAGGAAACTGTGCTGATTAGTCTGTCAGATGATGACTTCACCTGAATACACCTCTTCACTGGCTAGAACATAACAATCTGGAGGAAGTACCTTCTGAATTTCAATAGTTTGTTTTCCAGCTGAAGAGAGAGTTCGGAAATATTCCCAGTTGAATCACTCACCAAAGTGTTATACAACTGAAAGCAATCTTTTGTGAGTTGTGCGGGGAAGATAAGAAATTAAAATGTACATCCTTGTGTGTCTGAATGAAGGGGACAATTACCATTGTGTGTACTGAGATTTGTTGTTATAAAGAACTGGGAGTAACCTGTGCCATAGTATTCAGCTAGATAGCGTTAGGGGTGTAATGAACAAGGACAGTGCTTGCAGGAATGTGGTGGGGGGGAGGCTCACTCCAAATTCCAAATGACTTCCTTTTTCAAATAAGACAGAATGGTGAAAATGACCCCAAAAAACTGTCAGCAGCTGCTGCATTTATCTTTGTATTGTTAAGGGAACTTCTGGTTGAAAAGGACATATTTAAAAATCCCAGCATTGCTGCAGAATAAATAACCCCAACACATATTTCTTTTTAAAAGGCTATATAACATTGTGCAGCCAATCTGGTACAGACATACCACTCCCTATATTCAATTATAGGAGGTAAAAAAACCCTCACAAACTTATTGTGGGATTGGCATTCTAGCTTTATAACCTTTTATTATTATTATTATTATTATTATTATTATTATTATTATTAAACTTTATTTGTACCCCGCTAGCATCTCCCGAAGGACTCGATGCGGCTTACACAGGCCAAGGCCTCAACACAACAACAGCATAACAACAACAATACAATTCAAAGCAAATCAAAAACATAAAGCAATAACAACAAAACATTACACCATAACACAGTAAAAACCAGGGCCGGGCCAAGTGATGGGTACAGATTAAAAAGTGCTGGGTGTGACAGGTGGTATGTTGGATTTCTGGGCAAGTGCAATGTGCAGAGAATCTTAAACTCTAATAAAGTGCTTCTGGGACATAGTGCTGGGGTTTTCCTATTCCAGAAAGGCACATCGGAATAGCCAGGTCTTCAAGCTCTTCCTAAAGACTGCCAACGTGGGTGCTAGTCTAATGTCTTTGGGGAGGGTGTTCCAAAGTCGGGGGGCAACCACAGAGAAGGCCCTGTCCCTCGTCCCCACCAAACGCGCCTGCGACGCAGGTGGGATCGCGAGCAGGGCCTCTCCGGATGAACGAAGGGAGTGCGTGGGTTCATAAATGGAGATGCGGTCACACAGGTAGGCAGGCAGGTCCCAAACCGTTTAGGGCTTTGTAGGTAAGCACCTGCACCTTGAATTGGGTTCGGAAAGTAAACGGCAGCCAATGGAGCTCCTTAAACAGGAGGGTTGACCTCTCTCTGTAAGGAGCGCCAGTTAACATCCTGGCTGCCGCCCGTTGGACCAGTTGGAATTTCCGAGCCGTTTTCAAGGGCAGCCCCACGTAGAGCGCATTACAGTAATCCAATCTAGAGGTGACCAAGGCATGGACCACCCCGGCCAAATCAACCTTTGCGAGGTACGGTCGCAGCTGGCCATGATGGTTACAATTTACCTGATAGATCTAGACAGGGTGCACTCTAAGACCAGCAGTGAGAAAAACAAGCTTAACTCATACTCTGCAATATTGTTTGATATATTACTATTTTGATTGTTCACTATGAGATTATCTGGTCAAGCCCCAAATCACCAGAATTGCCCTGAATGAATTGCTAGTTGTCCCCATGATATACAATAGTTTCCAGTAAGTATCATGTTTCTTTTTCAATTTAAACACACTTTGCCCTGGACTAACCCTGGACAGTAAAATTGTGTCCAATTCAGCCTGATTTGCTGTCTAGACAGGACACCATTGTCACCATCCCTTGCTTGCACTCTACTCCTTTTTGCTGGTTACACAAGCAGCCCTTTTTGATATTATCATAGATGACCATGGTGACCAAAATTTGTATACATAGAATTCCATGGCCAGTCAGGAGTGGACTCTGTAGTGACAGAAGCAAGGGAAGATGCAGACTGCCCCTGCAGGGTGGATGCATTTATAGGCCATCTAGATAATAGAGATGTACGGAATGGCAGAAATCTGTTCTGCTTTGTTCTGTTTTCATTTCGAATTTCAGGTACCCCTCCCTGTTTTCAGGAAGATTCAGGGAGATTAGGAGGGGGCCATTCAGATTCGTAATTCAGGATCCGAGTTAAGTTTCAATTTCTGGAAGAATGTTCCCAAAAACAGAACCGAGGTGGGGGGGGGGGGGTAGCACCCAAACTTCAACACAAAAACAGAACAGATTTCTGCTGTATCGCACACTCCTACTAGATTTAAAAACTCAGATTTTGCATGAACGTTTGAATCGCAGCTTGGGTGTGACCCTGGACTCATCGTTGAGCCTGGATCCCCAGGTTTCAGCGGTGACCAGGGGAGCATTTGCACAGCTTAGGCTCGTGCGCCAGCTGCGCCCGTACCTTGGGAAGTCTGACTTGGCCACGGTGGTACACGCTCTGGTCACATCCCGCCTTGACTACTGCAACGCTCTCTACGTGGGGCTGCCCTTGAAGACGGCCCGGAAGCTTCAGCTAGTTCCAGCGCGCGGCAGCCATGTTATTAACAGGAGCGGGGGGCAGGGAGCATACAACGCCCTTGTTGTCCCAGCTCCATTGGCTGCCGATTTGCTACCGGACCCAATTTAAGGTGCTGGTTTTGGCCTACAAAGCCCTAAACGGTTCCGGCCCAAAATACCTTTCGGACCGCATCTTGGCCTACGAGCCCACGAGGACCTTGAGATCGTCTGGGGAGGCCCTTCTCTCGATCCCACCTGCCTCACAGGCACGTCTGGCGGGGACGAGAGAGAGGGCCTTCTCAGTGGTGGCCCCCCGGCTGTGGAACACTCTCCCTGCAGACATCAGACAGGCGCCCTCCCTTATGTCCTTCCGAAAAAGCCTTAAGACATGGCTGTTCGAGAGGGCATTTAATTAAGTGCTATAATAATGTGGTAAAGATGACTGGAATGGAACAAGGAATATGAGATTGGTTACGATTCTACTATGAGACGAAGCGGATTATTTAGTGTAATTTTATAATTGTTGTATTGCTAATATGTTGTTTTGTAATTGCCTTTTTGTAAATTGCCTTTTTATATGTTGTACACCGCCATGAGTCGCCCTAGAGGGCTGAGAATGGCGGTTAACAAATGCACCAAATAAATAAATAATAAATAAATAAATCCGGGACTGCTCTAGTACAATATGCTTATTTATACCCCACTTTTTCTCTACACAAATGCAATTTAAAATTTACAAATATACAAACATTAAAACAGAATTAACTAGCAATGATATTTTTAAATTCAGTTAAAATCCATGAAAACTTATTAAAAACATATTCAAAGCTAAAACCACAGCACCCCCTGACTTGATCGAAAAAATATTCTTCTTTAGAAGCCTGCTTGAATAAAAATGTTTTAGCCTGCTGATAGAAGGACAACGGGGAAGAGGCCATTCTGGCTTCCCTAGGAAGAAGGAAGTTCCAAAATTGAGGAGCAGCCACTGAGGCGGCCCACTCTCTCGTTCCCACCAGATAATGTGATTGGAAGTGAAGATTTGCAATGCTGTTATCTTACCATAACACCTCCAACATGTGCAAAAGCTTTATCTTACTCTATTCACAGCATGAATTTCTGATTTGCATGTATATGCTTTGCACAAAGGATTGCTAATTGGCAGTCTATGAAGAATGCACTGCTTTCTTCCAGCTTTTCGTTTGAAGGCACAATGTCCTCCAAGGTCCTGTCTTGAATAGTGCAACTCTGACTACTATATTTGTCATGTTTTTCTGTAAACATTATGTTTACTTCTTCAAATAACACAGAAATAATGTCCTTTCACTGGGTTGTTTTAGGTTTTTTGGGCTATATGGCCATGTTTTAAAAGCATTATCTCCTGACATTTCACCTGCATCTATGGCAGGCATCCTCAGAGGTTGTGAGGTCTGTTGGAAATTAGGAAATTTGGGTTTATATATCTGTGGAATTGGTGTGGCTTTTGTTGAGATTCCTCCAGGCATTAACTAGCCACACCATAAAACTGCCAGGCCATCAAATGCTAATCAAGGTGGCCAACTGAAACATCTACACTTGACTCCAACAGACAAGAGTTCTTTCTCCTACCCTGGACATTCCACAGATGTATAAATGCAAATTTCCTAGTTTTCAACAGACCTCACAACCTCTGAGGATGCCTGCCATAGATTCAGGCAAAATGTCAGGATAGAATGTGTCTAAAACATGGCCATATAGCCCGAAAAACTAACAACAACCCTGTGATTCCAGCCATGGAAGCCTTCAACAATATAATGTCCTTTCACATTACAACTCGATGTTTTTCTGGATTTCTGTTGGTTATTCAAAGGAGGAGCAACAACATATGGCAAATTCTGGATGGTCAACTCTTAGATTTTATTCTCCAAACACTAAGTTTGGGTATATACGTGGATTAGGAAATTGATTTCACCCATCAATAGGTGATTCACAGAAACATGATTCACGTTACGTGAATATTATGTGGCCTTGGGAGATGGAAAATGAAAAAAAAATGAATGTGTCTCCTTAAAAATTAACAGAATAGGCTAGTGCTGTGTTTTGTACTTTTTGCACAATGCAAAGAAAAAAGTCCTGTAAACTATAATCTCCAGTGTTTGAAAACCATTCTTAGTTTGCAGGTCTAAACAATTGTAGCTGTTTACCTCTCAGTAAAGAAATTTGAAAAGATTACATGGCACATTCTCTGTTTCTATTCATCACAAAGACCTCAGTTATCTACTGAAAATAGCACTTCAGTATGAAAGTACTGAGATGAGGGATGGGAAGAGAGAAACCGACTTACATCTCTATCCAGAATTCGTCCAGTACTGTTAAGATACAGCCTCTGATTGATAGGATCTAAGATAACCCAGTAGTCGACATTATCCTTTAACGTCAGTTCAATGGTGGGATCAGGTCCTCTTGCTGTACCTTTGATCAACATGCTGTCTACCAGGATGGTCCCTGAAAGAAAAATACAGAAGACAGTTTTTATGGTCAGTTCAGCTTTTAAAAACAATGTTAATATCATAGATATAATCAACAAATTCTACATTATATTTTTGCTAATCACATCCCAACCAAAAATATCTTGGTGCCTTGGTTTTTATGCCTAATCATGTGGTGATTTGGGGCACTGATTCAGAAAATTGCGTTGCAAAGAATAGATCAGTGATAAGGGCTATATGGCCATGTTCTAGAGGCATTTTCTCCTGATGTTTCGCCTGCATCTATGATAGCCTGGCAGTTTTTTTAGTGTGGCTTGCTAGTGCCTGGGGGAATCTTTTGTTGAGATTTCTGTCTATTATTTCTGACCACTTAGGCTAATAAAGGTAAAGGTTTTCCCCTGACGTTAAGTCCAATTGTGTCCAACTCTGGGGGTGTGGTGCTCATCTCCAAGCCAAAGAGCAGGCATTGTCCGTAGACACCCCCAAGGTCATGTGGCCAGTGTGACTGCATGAAGCGCTGTTACCTTCCTGCCAGAGCAGTACCTATTATCTACTCACATTTGCATGTTTTCAAACTGATAGGTTGGCAGAAGCTGAGGTTGACAGTGGAAGCTCACACCGCTTCCTGGATTCGAACCTGCAGCCTTTCAGTCAACAAGCTCAGCAGCTCAGCACTTTAACCCACATGATTATATTCTACAGAATAGTTTGTGTTAATTTCAAACTGAACACACATACACACACAAGTACCAATACAGCTTTGATGTGGATCTCATTAAGTTTCTCTGCCTTTCCCCAAATATAATTCAAGCAGTTAATATTTTAGTATCTTAACCTGTAAAAGGATACACTGGAAATATAAAACTTTCTTTTAACACTGAGAGTTCAAACATACATGGCACTAAGTACATCTTAACTACCACCACGCCAACAAAAAAGCCTACAATTTTCAACTAGTAATCTAATGATCAGGGAAGGAATATTTAAGGAATATTTTAAGCCTTCTCTTTGTCTAAATATAGACAAATGGGGAGGGGGGTTGTTTCTATTGGCACCAGTTACCAAGATGAGGTACATTTTTATTAAAATTATGACTGAGGAGAAAAAGGTTAATCCTTTCCTCCTTATGCACTATAATCCTAAGGGTGTGCATGTTCTATTTTGTTTCTAATCACAATTTTAGTCTGGTCCTGTCTTCTGATGGTCTCCTGTTATGACCTTTAGTGTGTTCTGATATAGTAATTTTCATTTTCATTTTCCATTTTCCAAAGGAATTAATTACAGGGTCAAACATTATAATAATCTCACTTAATTATACATTTCTGAAGCAACACATTAAGCTGTTCTAATGATACTTTTATTACATTTATGAACTAAAAGTCTATAAGTCAACTTTTTGTAAAAATCCTTTTTTCAAGATTCCATTTATATTTTGAGCTCTTTTTTAGGTGCTTCCAGACTGCCTTTGTCCTTAGGCTAAAATACCAACTTGATAACCTATTCACAAAACATCTGAAAGGATCAGATAAGATTTCGATGTTGTGTGGAATGACATTTTCCACACTAATATCTGCCTATGTTCTATCCTCAAAAACATGTATTTCAAAAAGCGCAGTGTGCATGCTTCCTTGCAAGTCATCTGAACCTGTGCATGGAAACTAAATCTTAACAGGAGACCTAATTTGAGTAAGACAAGAGACAAGAGTCCAACTTTGGCTTTACCTATGAACCCACTTCTATACAGGACAAGACGCAAGCACTGAATTCTCTCATTTCTGCACAGATACATAAGGTTTGATAACTCACTCTGGTGAAAGAGCATTCAGGCAAAGACAAACAAGAAGCTTAGACACACAATGATGCCACATAAATTGTTCTGTCGCGCTCTGGGCCTGTAAAGAATTTCCTTTAGAACAGGACATGCAACGTATTGTCGAAGGCTTTCATGGCTGGAATCACTAGGTTCTTGTGGGTTTTTTCAGGCTATAGAGCCATGTTCTAGAGGCATTTCTCCTGACGTTTCGCCTGCATCTATGGCAAGCAAAGGACGTGCAACCTTTGCCCAGTGGTTAGCCAGGAGGCCCAAAGAGACGTTCTCAGAGGTTTTCCACCACAAATGGTCTTTAGATGGCTTGTGAAGTATAACAAAGTCTTTTATTAATGAACAATCAAACATAAACTTCTCTTATCTTCAGAAAGTTAAACAAATGATTCCAGGCTTTTATACAACTGGTAGCTTCATAAACTTGCCCACGAAGCACAGGCAACTGTCTTCAATAACTTCTTCTTTACTTTAAAGGAAAGTCCCCTTTTTAACTTCTCCCAGGCTGACTGTAATCTAACCCTTACTGATGTGGGCTCCGCTACCGGGTTGAACTGCTTTTCGAACGGCGAGTGGACCTACCAGTAAAGGCTTAGATGTTCTCCAGCTGGAGTTCTTTTGTCTTTAGGGCTGTTTCCCTGGAAATCTTTGGAGACTCTTAAGACTGTTCTTCCGGAAAGTCTTGGATGCTCTTAAGACTGTTTTCCCCCAGAAAGTCTTAAGGGTTGAAGCTTTTGTACAGGGGAAGCTTGCACACGTCCTGTACATTAGCTTTCCTTGCTGAGACTAACTAAAAATGGCTCCCTTCCCAATTGCCCTGAGCAAGGGGCGGAACCAAAACTTAACGATGATGGACAGGTGACTTGCCCTACGACTGCAACCAAAGGAAGCCACCTATCTGCAGAACCTCTGAAACCCTGGACTGCAAGCAACACTCAATACAAAGCAAATAAAATTGGAGCTCCTGGTACAACCGTACCAGGACATAAATAGATAAACCAATTATTTTAATAGTGTCTTCTGTTATTCTCCTTTTCTATAGTTAGGGTGCACCTGTACTGATGAATGAATGCAATTTGATACCACTGTAACTACTATGACCCCAGGCTTTGAAAGCATGGGACTTTTTTCCTCAAGGTTTTGAAATGTGAACAGCTATTAAAAGTGTATGAACATTATTTTACTCTTTTGAGACATGATGAACTCACCCCTTCTTTTTTTGTCAATAACAACAACTTAGATTAAATTCGTATAACAGTGTTACACTGCTGAGCCCCCAGTGGTACAACGGGTTAAAGTGCTGAGCTGCTGAATTTGCGGTTCAAATCCAGGGAGCAGGGTGATCTCCCATTGTTAGCCCCAGCTTCTGCCAACCTAGCAGTTCAAAAACATGCAAATGTGAGTAGATCAATAGGTACTGTTACGGAGGGAAGGTAATAGCGTTCCATGCAGCCATGCTGACCACATTTATTTATTTACTATACTTGTATACTGCCTTTCTCAGCCTATCAGCGACTCAAGGCAGTTTACAACAAGTCAGTACACATAATATCAAAATACAGGTTAAGCATTAAAACAATATAAAACCACAATAGAAACAATAAAACCAACATCATTATCATCAGCATCTCCTAGTTTAAAATGTCCAAATTCCATTGTCAAGTGATTCCATTTCCTATGTCAGTTACTCTGCATTTGTAAACGCTTGCTCATATAACCATGTCTTAACTTGTTTCCAAAATGTTAAGAGTGAGGGAGCCGATTTAATCTCCTTAGCGAGGGTGTTCCATAGCCAGGGGACCACCACAGAGAAGGCCCTGTCTCTCGTCCGCCAGATGTATGTGTGATGAAGGTGGGATTGAGAGAAGGGCCTCCCTGGATGATATTAAAGTCCATTATCCATAGAGATGCCTATGGATAATACCAGCTCTTCGGCTTAGAAATGGAGATGACACCCCCCCCCCCCACCGTATTGGATTCACCTCAGCTTAATGTCAAGGGAAAAATGTAGTTTTTATTCCAAGTGGCAGCTCCAATAGTTTGTAACAGTGCAAAATATTCCTACAAAAGCATGCCAGCCAGAAAGTAATGTTGCAAAACTCTATACCTATTATTGTAGTTTTTCCTTATGTGCTTATGCATCTTGACTTGTGAATCAAACAGGGCTTCTCTGCTATTTCCATAATCTGCCACTTTTTACCATCAATGAAATATTGATTTGAAAAAATGATGTGATGAGAATGGAGGTGGAAAGGTTTGTGCATTAAAAAATTGTTTTCGTTGTTGTCCTCCTCCTCTTCATCCTTCTTTTTGTAGTACCATAGGAATGCATATGTACGTGTTACATTAGGCATTTCTTTTTATGATCTGCATAAAACGCTTTGTAAGGCAGGTTTGCTGAAAGGTAATGCTTTCTCATAGTCATGTGATAAATTCCATGACCAAGAAGATTTATAATAATAATAATAATAATAATAATAATACTATATTTATACCCCACCACCATCTCCCCAAGGTGACTCAGAGCAGCTTGCATGAGGCCAAGCCCAGCAGTACAACAATGCAAATGCACAACATAAGAATACAACAATAAAATATCAAAAAATAAAATGAAATAAAATACAAGAACCATTATAAGTAAACACATCAGACCATATCAAATCACAATATTTGAACACAGAGAGTTAATCATAGTGGGCACGGCCGGTTGCAAGGATTAAAAGTTTTAAAATACTGGGTGAGAGAGCAATATACTATATCTGGAAAGGGAGGTCCGAAGGACGAAGTAGGGTTTAATTGCACTAACAGGTAAAATAAAGTGCTTCCAAGGGCATTTATGCAGGGATTTGAACCTGTTTAAAGTTGAGTACTGTGTAAACATAATTCACATCCTTGGCTTAAAGGCTTTTAAAGAAAGGATTTTGATAACAGAAGGAATATAGACTGTCAAAGGCATTCTGCAAAAGCGTTCTGATCTTGAGAAAAAGAGAACAAGAGTAACAAGAGAAAGGGAGCAGGATATAGGGATGGTGGGAGGGGAGTGGGTGGCGGCAATGCTATGTATTGTTTTGAAAGTAAGGACAAGTAGTTTTGTTTCACAAAGTTATGAAATAAAAAGAGGCATTACAGAATGGTTCTGCTGGTCAAAGCTCTCATTTCTATTTACACTGGGAAAGAGTATATCAGATAAAAAC